TATGATATAAGTAAAAAAATTCAACACGGGTTGACATTTTCATATACATATTGTATATATAAAATAAATAAATTATATTTATCTTTATAATAATAATAAAAATTATTTATTACAATTAATAAGAAAATAAAATTATTTATCTATTAATATTTTTCATAATATTAAATAAACATATTCTACACTTATGCATATACATATCACCATAATATTTTTATTTACTTAAGATATATATTTTTTGCTTATGTAATAGTAAATAATATCGATATTATTATATGATATAAGTAAACAAATTCAACACGGGTTGATATTTTTATTTAATATACAGGTGTTTACTTATTATGATTAAAAAAATATAATTTGACAATTTAATTAAAACCCAAAGTAGTGTTTTATATAAAATTAAATTATTTTAATTCTAAAAAAAAATAATAATATTTTTTACAAAAACTTTCTAATTCAACACCAGTGTAATACACGGGTATTGCACTAGTTATAGTAATTTTCATAAATTATATCATATATAACTACTTGAAATATAAATATAGTAATTGCTAAATAATTTTATTTTTTTTAATTAATGTTAAAAGTAATTTTATTATTGTTATGAAGATAAATATAATTTATTTTTTTATACATACAATATGAGTGTTAAATCGAAGCTCATCAAGCGATGATTAATTTGATATATTATATATGTAAAACTGATAAAAAATACAAAAGTTATTAACTTTTAAAATACATTTACAGTTCAATGATTATAGTAAGAAAGGATATGAAAATACAATTAATACATGTAACATCACCATAAATAATCAACATATTTATGAATAATGCGGACCTAATTATTTTTAGATTGAAAGTAAATTAAAATCTACTCTAGCCTAATAACGAAGCATGTAATTTTGCCACATAGGATCCAGAAGCATGCGAGTCTGCCACTTAGGCTCAATACGTTTTGAATTAATATATAGAGGGGTCTGCATACATTTAGGCCACGTTTGGTTCAAGGGAGGGAAAGGGAGGGGATGAATTCTAATGGAAGGGAGGTGAGGGGCGGGAAGGTGATGTAAAATGATTTTACCTTGTTTGGAAGGATTTTATACGAGGGGATGAGAAGAAAAATGGTAAACCTTGTTTGGTTTAAAAAGTAAGGGGAGGGAAAATAAAATTATATAGACAAATATATGTTTTTTTATTATGTAACATTATGTTTGTACATAACTCAATTAACCACTCTTGCCAATAATATCTACTGCCACAAATTGAGGGTATGTTTGCATACAAAAATTGAAAAAATAAAAATAAAAAAATATAAACATTTTAACCCAACCATTTTTTTAACTCAACTTTAACTCAACTCCACTATCATAAATATGATTAAATAATATCAATCAATCTAACCATCACTTCAAATCATCTTTCTCATACTTTTACATCAAATTAATTTTAATTATTTTATTTTAAATACTATTTTAATATATTCACTAACAACTAACCATACCACATTTTTCAAAATTAACCAAGCCAAACCAAAAAATCCAACACAACCAAAAAAATTTATATCCAAACATGTTGAGTCTTGTTAATAACCAGCCATCAAAAAAATAGGATAAAAAAATGATGCCATATTTTTTATAAGATTCAAATCAAACATTTTTTCTTTCCAACTCCATCAAAAATCAATGAAACGTTGCAAATCACATTTCATCAGATAAGATTTATAATATATAAGTACAAAATACCTTACATAAACATAGCAAATATATAATAAAATCCTACAAATATCCATAAGGCCTAAAGTGCATCAAAATACACAAAAGCTATTTTACCCTAGTAGTTCTACCAAAACATACAAAGTGATAGTTTCTTTACACCATAATGACAACTTAAACTTCAAATAAATTAACGTAAGTTTTAAATTTTCAAAACATGTGAAACAACATAACAACATCATTTTGCTCACGATGGTGGATTGGAGGGGCCAAACATCATTCTCATGATAACATCCTTACGAGCTTCGTGGGGGACATTGAACAACACATCGAAGCTTGTCGATGTCACTCGTAAGAAAACAGTAGATGTCCATCAATATGTTATTGTCAAACCCGCATTCCTTCAGTAAAGTCCATGTGTCTTCGCCAAATATTGGGGGAACTTTATGGCAGTACATGTCTTTGAATAGCTCATTTCCTTCTCGTAGTGCATTAGCGACATTATCGATTGTTCCTTTAATAATCTCAAACTCTGACGCTTTACCCTTCATTGCATCTTCCTTTTTTCTTTTCTTACTAGTTGCCCCATTGTTTGTTCCCGTAGAAAGAAGTTGAGTAGAGAAACTAAAGATGTCATTATCCACGTCCATAGTATCACCAATATTCTCCAAGGTAACTTCATTTTGGTATACAAGGTTGTCAACCTCATCGATTGTTGTGTTAAATAGATTCTCAGTAGATGATGCTCGTCTCTTTCTCATCTCAAATGCGGTCTCCGCATCCTCATCAGTTGCTCTATCATTTTCATATAAAAGCACCATTTTCTCATAATTTGGAAATGGGATTAATCTCAATGCTGCTGTCTTTAGTTTTGCCTGTGAGTGAAATGCCATAAAAATATGTTATAGAATTAAATAACAAGCTAACAAGCATGATAATAAGAATGACATAAATGAAAAATTATTTATTACAACCTCAATCAAAGCTTTCCATACTTGTGGCACCGCATCCCATAGTTTTGTAGTTGGATTCTAAACAAACCCGCTCATTCCACAACTAAAATTATCATAGACTTCTAAAAGAAATTTCTTCAAAGTTTTCCATCTATTTTTCACTTTCTCTCAATCTTTTTGTCAAATAAGGCAATAAGCTCTTTCACAATGTTCTCATATGCAGCACTAGTGAAAGTACCATTAACTTTATTACCACAATTATGTTCATTAACAAAAGAATCAATAAGAGCATCATCCATACTTGTCCAAGTTAAGTTCTCTTTCCAAGAGGTAGTTGGACTTGAAGACTTTCTGGGACCAATTCTACAAAGTTAAAACAAATGAGATATGCATATTATAATTTAAACCAAAAACTTAGATGACAACAATTACAACCTCAAAAGATAACAATTCATAAATCCAAACATCTCATATAAATAAAACTAATCAAGTTCAAATACACAAATAACAAAGACAATGTATCCAAGTCAAATAACAAAACAAAACCACTGAAATTGTGCAATTCATACATTATAAATGATCACGTTCATCATTTAACCACATCTCATGTGCTATACAATCCCTTATAAACTCTCCTCAAGCAACCTCTTCACTATCAGATCCAAAACCAAAAACTCTTGAAGACTTTCCAAGAGGTAGTTGGACTTGAAGACTTTCTGGGACCAATTCTACAAAGTTAAAACAAATGAGATATGCATATTATAATTTAAACCAAAAACTTAGATGACAACAATTACAACCTCAAAAGATAACAATTCATAAATCCAAACATCTCATATAAATAAAACTAATCAAGTTCAAATACACAAATAACAAAGACAATGTATCCAAGTCAAATAACAAAACAAAACCACTGAAATTGTGCAATTCATACATTATAAATGATCACGTTCATCATTTAACCACATCTCATGTGCTATACAATCCCTTATAAACTCTCCTCAAGCAACCTCTTCACTATCAGATCCAAGAAAATAATTATTCTCTTCAATTGGATCTTGTCTTGCAAGTTCATCATCTACCTCAACAATAAGTTCTTCATTAGGGTCCACACTCATTAGATAATTATGAAGAATGCAACATGCAACAATAACGAGTTTTTGCGCTTTAACTCCAAAATTAGGTTCTGCACCCGAAGATAATATTTCGAAATGCTTTTTCAGTACACCAAAGGCTCTTTCAATTGCATTACGTAAAGATGCATGACGGAGATTGAACAATTCCTTAAAAGTTCGTGGTGGATTTCTTGCCGAGTATTCTTTCAAATGATAGTGAACTCCTCTATAAGGTGTAATCAATCCACTCGTTAACATAAAGCCAGCATCCACAAGATAATATTTTCCTCTAATAATAACAAAACTTATAATTCTTAAGATGAGAAATTGTTATGTCATAATATATAAAGTTATATGAAATACATTTTGAGATTATAACTCCATTTACCTTCAGGGATTTTTAGCTTATCTTCTCTTCTTAATGCACTTTTTATAATTCTTGAATTAGAGGCAGTGCCTTCCCATCCAGAAAGTACATACGTGAATTTTAAATCGAATGTACAAGCAGCTAACACATTTTGTGTTGGAAATTCCTTTCTCCAATGATAACGAGGAGCATCTTTTTGAGATACCTTTGCACACTGATTGTGATTGTTTTGACTCGAGACTATTATGATTTGGTATTTTGGTTTATGTCTCGTTGTGTTCCTTTGTGGATATGTGATTTTGGGCTTGAATTCCCAATGTCTTACGATGTGGCTTAACCTAAGTGAAAAATGAAAGTTTGGTTTTGAGTAATGCTCGGAAAGGTTCTAAATCGAAAAATTTATACTTATTTTCGAAAACTTGGGATTTTCCTTTTAAAAACAACGGAGCGTTACATAGGGCAATCGTTATCGCACGTTGGTTTATTTATTAAGAAGTCGATTTCAATTATGGGTAGTTATACGTTGATGTCTCCCGTATCATCAAACGAACTGATTTGAAAATATTAGTTTGTGGTAATATGACTCCCAACAAATCAACTCAAAAATATTGTGTAAACGAAAATGTTCAATTTATGATTTTTTATTTTGTTTACTACTCATTTACTTTTGTTACATGTATACCAAGTCTATTAATTTTAATATTTAATATTTTATAAAATATATCATCTCGATCGGGAAATACTACGGTCCCGTTACGGAATCATCCCGTCGAGAGTTTTAACAATTAGATATTGGATACAGTTAGTATAAGATAAATTTAACAGTTAAAACAGCAGACGGGATTGTTCCGTAGCATTTTCCAAAAATGACCCATTTAACACAAACAATCAAACGCGCCCCAAAATCCAATCCCAAGCTCCCAAAAACCCCATCTCTTTTCCATAATTAGCAACATACATCTCTCCGGCTCAGAATCGGCCGTCTCTGTGGTGATATGGAGGAATCGCCGGCCGGGAAAGTCATGGCGCCGTCACTCCAGCTCAATGGCGAGAGGGCCGTAGTTTTCCTCTATGTTGGTCGAATTCTCTTCTCCTGTCCCCTCTCTCTCCTCCCCGAGGCATTTTCTCTCTCCTTCCTATCCCTATTCGCTCTCTCTGTTGAGATCACCGCCGATGATACCTCCCGTCCTCTGGCGCACTACTTGAAGACCAGGTTGAATTGAGCTTCGTTATTTATTTATTTATCTTTTTATTGCACGTTCGGGTTGAGCTGAGATAGAACACGTTATAAGCTAGAGCTGAGATGATTTAGTTGTGATTGTGCATTAGACTGAATTGTGCTCATGTAGTCATATTATTCCACTTTTGATAACTTTGTCTTTATCATACTTGTTGCATTTTCCGTGTGTTAAGAGCTTCAAGTTACTTGATCACTTGATGATTTTATGGTGATATAATGGACTTTTTGTTTGATCTTTAGAGGAAATCCTGGATCATTGATGATCATAATATGTTAAAGTTAAATATCCAATTTTCTTTGGATGCAGCTGGTAAAATTTTGTTAATGCTTCCTGGAATATGTGTTATATTATAGTGGATGTGAGCGGCAGTCTTCCGGAGTTCCCAAATATGTTCATTGAGTTGAGTAGTTGAAAGAATGAGTTCCCTTGCATCTATTTCTGGTTACCTTTCTTCCTTCAGTGTCCACAAAAGCCCTTATGTCAATTTAAATTTGATATATTGACTTGATGAAATGGTTGGTAATAGGCCTGGAGCATCATCTGGCATTTTCTTGGGTGCAGTTACAGTGCCCGGTCTCATGGTCTCAAAGTTGATACAGACTCTGAGATCAGCATCATTGCAAAAAGTTCAAATAGAGGGTAAAACATCTTGAAATTTTGTTCATTTTTATTTCTGCCTTTTCCATTTTGTAAATATATTTATGCTTTGGAAGACTGACATAGGAATAAAATTAATCTTTTTCCTTTTGGATGCATTGGAATGAAACTTTGTATTGCTTGTATTGCTGAATCACAGACCAGAATTAAAAAAGGAATGGGAAGGTTTTGGTTTATGACAATGTACATAAGATTCTGCAATTTTCATAATAATATTTTATTGTTTATCCAGCTGCTTCTCAAATGCAATTAATTGCATTCTGATCTATAACTTATGCTGTTTTTTGTTTTCATGCTTTGCAGAGTTTGAATATCTCAAGTTGCAGTATTGGGCCGCAGCAGTCAGCTGTCTTAGTGTGCTAATTTACCTTTCCCTTGTTTGTCGACGTCAGGGGAAGAGAACTAGTTCCATGTTTTCTAGCTCCAAGTGGACTCCAGAGTATAGCTTCATCAGCATAATCTTTCTTGTAGGATTTAGCTTGGCATCATTATCTGGGAAAATATATGGTGGTGAGTTAACAAATTTCCCGTTTTGATGCTCTGCGTATCTATTGAATCATCGGTGAATGATATGATGTTGGTTGAAAAATTGTGATAACGTGAATCTGACGAACCTTTGTTTTTGATAATCTGCACCAAATTTGTCGGTATTAATATTTATAATATTACTGCCCTTTTACAGGTTGGTCTCTAGTGTTGATGTCATTGTGGGTGCTCATTCATGGATTAGCAGAGGTAACATTAATTCAGAAGATCATTCACATGTTCCCTGCATGTGCTTCCCTAGGTAAGTTGCATTGTTGTTTGCCTTTGCTATTTGATATGATATGAACACTAATCATGACTTTTAGGTGCCTTTTTAATGTGTTATGATTTCTACGCGTCCATGCAATGCAGTTATTTCCAGGAGTGTGCCCCTGTGATTGTTCTTATTTGTTAATTTCTTCTTATTTGTGAAAAGGGCTTGTTTTAATTGTCAGCAATTTTATATATTTTTCTTGGCAGGAGAATCCCTTCTAGTGACCACTGGCCTTGTAATCTATTTTGGCGACATGGTTGCATATACTGCTGCAAACGTTGGTTATACCATTTCTCGGTTTTCATGTTGTCTGACACATGTTAGATAATTAGGTCATCTGTTTTGGCTGATCGAGGCTTGTTGTTCAACAGATCTCGTATTTGGCGTCATCCAGTGTTCTCAATGTACGGTATGGGTTCAAGAGAAGTGAGATAAGCATCATTATTCAGGTATCGTTCTGTAGAGGTTTTAATAGAAATAGTGGTTTCAGTAGTGTGCCTTCTGAAGCTGGACTGATTGCTATCTTTTGTAATGATTTATATTAGTAATGCCTTTGCCTACTTCACACAGGGAACGATTTTCGGGTTGCTTCTTTTTCCTATGTATTATAAGTATGTTATCAGAATGTGGGAGTACTTGGTCAGCTTGGTTAGCAAGGGAGATCACGGAAACAACGAGATGAGAAGGTCCCTTGTTTTCTATGCTTCAATCACATTTATGTTGGTTGTGGCTGTCCCTTCGTGGATGCAATTTGTGCATGCTTTTCACGCACACCCATTGCTATGGTACAGTTAATATTTTTGCTTTGATTTCAGTCTGCTTTCTCTTGCCCTGTTAGTATATTCTAGGAAAACATGCATTTATAGAGTCAGAGTGCTCTCCTTTGCTCTTTAATATTAAGCAAGCCCAGCTAATTTTGTAAAATGATGCTCTTCTAAATTCCTCTTCAACTCGTAATTTTTTTTTTCTTTTTTTATATCGTCATCCAACCAAATTTGACTGACAATGGTCTTGCGTAGATGTTCTGAAACTTCCTTTGAAAAGTGTCATCTAATGACAAGAATTTGGGGTGACGGAAGAGAAGGAAAATAAACAGTAGATTCTTTAGGAAGTTTTTCTCTTGAGAATTTGTTAGATTTCTGGCCACTTGGCGTTGTGCATCACATTTTATTACTATGAAAATCCGTTTTCAAAATGACTTCTCGCAACACTGGAAGGATCGGAACCGTAGTTGTAGGGAAACATTATTCTTTCAACATAAGCACAGCTCTTGACATATTTATTGTGCGTTATTGTTGTCTGTCGAAGTTAGTGGGTTGGGAGTGTTAACCCATTATGGCGAATGATTCAGTCTAGAAATTTAATGAGTCTATTCAGAAAACTATATATAATCCAGGACTGTTCTCCAGAACCTTCTTGAAGGTAGAACTTGGTGTATAATATTTTTTACATGTTTTGTGATGAGAAAAGATTCTATTATATCATGAAGTTAAACACTTGATGCAACTAGTGTTGTAGCCAGGAAATTCTAAGTTGCTCGCATAGCCCACTTAAGTGTCTGCCATAGAGAAAAGATGCCAGTATTTATAGTGCAAGATACTGTTTTCTCTTCATAAATTTCAGTAAGTGATTTTTTTCCTCTTCCTTTTCCTTATTTTTCCTGTAACGTTTTCTTTCCATGTTTTCTTTGTTGATCAGGGTAGCTGAATTTGTTTTATCGGAACCACAAAAAAGGCTCTCGCTCTGCCTCTATTGGCTGGTTATCATATCTGTGTCGGTTAGACGATTTTACAAAATATCAAAGAATAGTAAGACAGAAAGGATACTTCTTCGCAAATACTATCATCTGATGGCTGTATCAATTTTCATTCCTGCTCTTTTATTCCAGGTGCATTGTCAGTTCACCTAAATAAATTCAGCGGTCACTTACTTTGTAAAATTATTTTTTGGTAATTGGCATGTTTTGTGTTCGCGTTCAGCCGAAGTTTCTTGATCTTGCTTTTGGGGCAGCTCTGGCAGTTTTCCTTTTATTAGAAATTATACGAGTAAGTCCGAGTGAAACACCTTANATACCATTGTGTGAATTTTAGTTTTGTGCTGCCCAGCATAATGAGCCCTCTGTTTGCATGTTTTTTTCTATATCGAAGTCATCCAGCTTCTGTTCCATAATGCTGTATGCTGTTTATGGCTTATGATATTATCTGTTTCATGCTGATCATAAGCTTAATAACTTTGCTAATTGCTGTGTAGATATGGAAAATATGGCCATTAGGTCATGTAGTCCACCAATTCATGAATGCTTTCACAGATCATCGTGATTCGGATCTTCTTATTGTCAGGTATGTGGTTCTTTCACTTGTCGCTTATTGTTATGAGGCTTTCATAATATACCGATGGGTTATTTCTTCCCTTCTGTAACCTTTTCAGCCATTTTTCACTGTTACTGGGATGTGCAATTCCCATCTGGCTGTCTTCGGGTTTCAATGATCGACCACTTGCCCCTTTCGCTGGAATTCTGAGTCTTGGTATTGGGGATACTATGGTAAATATGTGGTCTTCTTTGGCTGTTGATTCACTTTTACTAGAACCCTTGGTCTGCCTTCACGAATTGTGATGCAGATATTAACGCTTTTTAATGATACAAGGAATTTCGTGAAAAAAAATCTGAACTTCTGTTCTTTCTTGTAACTGTTTTCGATCAGGTGTCCGTATGTGTGAAGTTTCGACCCACAGAAGTGAAAATGATTGTTTACATTTTATTATTGTCTCACATAAAATTTTCTTCAATTGTGTTGATATCAGGCATCCATGGTTGGCCACAAGTATGGAGTTCTTCGGTGGAGTAAAACTGGAAGTACTTGTTTTCCATCCTTCTCCATTTCATTTTTCTTCCCCATTAACTCAATATTTTGTCTCTTAGCTCTAGCCATTTTTATATTCTCCAGAGAAAACAATTGAAGGCACTGCTGCTGGCATAACTTCAGTTCTAGCTTCGTGTTTTCTTCTACTTCCACTTCTAGCAGCAACTGGCTACATTTTCACTATGGTATGGTTCCTACAAAAGCAATCTACAACATTTGGGTACTCTGTGTTAACTATTTCTAGCTGTGGGTCTACTTAATTGCGATGACCGTCATTTATTTGATAAAAGCAACGAAAGCTAAGGCAAATCCTGACATTTTGTGTGCACATGGATATAAGTTATTTTGAATTTGATTAGATTTATTGGATTAAGTGAGTTAATTTTGAAAAAAAGGGAGATTGAGTTTTGGTTTAAGTGAGATTTTGAGTTTATATTTAAATTATATTTAAAATGTAGTGTTTAAAGTTGATATGATGTAAAAGTAGAGAAATGTGATTGGAAGTGATGGGTGGTTAAAATTATGTGAGAGGATGAATAGTAAATTAAAGTTGATGTAATGCGTTATAATGATTGATTGGTATTATTCAATTATATTGAGAATATTGAATAGAGTTGAGTTGAGTCAAATTTGAGTCGGATTTTGATTTAAAAAAAATTATTTGGTCAGTCATAATCGGATTGATTTGTATAATTGTATCCAATGAGGCCCTAAGAATCTTATGTAAAATATTTTGTATTTGCTTACTATCAAACTAGTACGTAACCCGTGCGATGCACGGGATGTAAATTTGGAAGAATAATATAACCTCACGTGCATTAGGATCGAAATTGAAATCATTAAAATACATAGGAACATTGTTGAATCATAAAAAGTTCGGTAACAATCATATATTATTAAAAACCTCCTTGTACACAACATTATGAGTTTGATTATTTGGTAACTCCTCATTATCACAAACTAATATTTTCAAAAGAGACAAATCCTAAAAATCAAACTAATATTTTTGGTGAACAAATTAATATTTAGGATTGGTGAACAAACTAATATTTTAGGATTTCTAGGATTTGTCTCTTTTTGGTGAACAAACTAATATTTTAGGATTGGTTATATGAATAAGGCTACCTGTTTTTGGTGTTCTTTTCATTCAAACAATCCGATGACTTGTATAATGAAATCCGAATGTTAAGCCGAAATATTTTAAAAAAGAGTTTTTAAAAATTGAAAAGTCAAGACAATCAGTTCAGATTAATTAAAGGTTAAAGAATATCCGCTCCTTGTAATAAAGACGTGTGCTATCATTAATCAAATATCCGGTTATTGATAGAGTGGTTACCAAAAAATAAAATGCGATAAGGACGCTTCATGGAAATATCAGTAAGATAAGGTCATAACAGATCGCTATACATTTTAACGATAAAAAGCTCAAATGGAATGATTTATGAACGATAAAAAGCTCAAATGGAATGATTTATGATAATTATGTCGTAATTAATTAGAAGTGTGAAAAGGACATAATTAATGAGAAGTGTGAAAAGGACATAATTAATGAGAAGTGTGAAAATGACATAATTAATGACAAGTGTGAAAAGGACAAAAACTTACCGGTTTTGGAAAATACTTAATGCAAATCCGACATTGACCATAATTTGACCTACTATTTTGGATAAGTGTTAATTCTTATTATATAAGTATAGAACTATAAAAGACGTGCAACATCTGAGAGAGAAGGATTGAGGTACGAGTAATTATTAAAAGTAGATATTCTGGCATTTCGAGAAGCATGATTGTTATCAAAATCAAAATTTTCGAGATCTTGCAGTTTAAAAGACAGATTGTCGATTATAATACCAATTTTGTCATGTGAAACTTGAAACTTAAACCAACATTCTTGCTCTATATTTCATCCAAGAATAAACAAAATAAAGCTTTCTTATTTTGAGTCCAATAAAAATGTTTTACTAAACATCCAATTGTTCAAATGTACTTTTCAATGATGAACTAAAAATATCACAAATTACTTGGTCCCTTCTAGGATTTTTTATAAATATATACATAATTTGGGACCTCCCTCGTCCATCGCCCATAAGTAATCCCTTTCAGCCGTGTGTGCTTACACGTTTGTGTTACGGGTTTGTGTTTTATTGTTATCTTGATGCATGTGGAGATAATATATTGAATTCATGTTTTGCAGCACTGGGTTTCGTTGATTGTGGCAGTGACCACAAGTGGCCTGTTGGAGGCCTACACAGCTCAGCTTGACAATGCTTTCATACCTCTTATTTTCTACAGCCTGCTCTGTTTGTAAAGTGCAACCTACAGCAATCCTACACCAAAATGTGATTTTTCACAGGGTCAAGTTGCGATAGTCTCACTTCTTGGCCACATTCTTTCGAATTATATTTTGTCGATCAGAATTGACCTAAAGTAGTACTACATAACATGTACCTTAGTGTGTTGTTGAGTAGGGAGTGTGGTCTTGCTTACTAATCTTACACTTGGTATATAGGGTTTCGGTGATCCCTCGGTTTGGACCATTTTTGTATAATATTTTAAAAGTGCTATAATCAAATTAATGTCATGTTATTTGATGCTCTTTTTGTAGATGTAGAGTTGACATGGTATGGTAGAAGACCGATGTATACCAACAGTATTTTGTTAATTTTTCTTCTCTTGCCTATACCCTGTGTTGTCGTTCTTGTTGTTTTTCTTCTTGTTTTTTTGTTTTAGTACAGATGCAAGCTTTTAATCTCTTTTATGGAGTTGTTTTGTCTCATTTTTGGAATTTTGTTTGCTTGCGGGTGTTTGTATCCCCTTGGTTGCCTGTGTATATCAACATATTTTGTTTTGGCTTTATATCTCAGGTGTACTCTTTTTGAGTTATTAATATATTTGTNATTATCATCTAGTTTTGTCATATTTTCTTGTAGATTAATATTGAATTTCTATCTCAATTTGAATAATATAATTTGTAAAAAAGAGTACTATCATTACTACACACTTTATTACAAGATTTGGTGTTTATCCTCTCATATATTCTATTTATAAATTATTATTTTATTATTTACATTGCACGTCCACTTTTGGGTGATTTGTATGCTTTTCAAATAGTTTACTATAACCATCTCGTAGAAAATTCGACCTTGTGAATTGTGATAAAAATTATCCTTTAGGAGGAAGGTTCTAATGCTGACGCACAATATAAAATCACTTCACTGACAAATTTATAATGAAGGTTGTGGAATTATTTAAATTTTATTTAATTCTATTAAATACTTAATATTTTAATTAAGAGATTTTCCTAAGCATGCTCCTATTAATTTTCTTGCACATAAAGCAATTAAATCAATTAAGCACATACATATTTAACTAGGAAATAAAATCTAACTATCATGGCCAATAATTATTTTCCAATTCTTTTTGGAAATGAGCAATGCTTGTTCTTGTAGAATTGTGTCTTTCCATTTGGATTCGAAATTCCTTTTTTCATCCTGACTCCCACTTTATTTCTTGAACAAGCAACTGAAACCGGATCGTCATGTTTGCCGAATAAGTCATCTCCGGGGAAAAAAATACGCGTCATCGAGTCATTGTTGAGTGGCATCGCGCCTCGCCGGGTCTGCAGATAGCACTTCGCGATGCTTAGCCAAGCGATGCCGGAGTGTGCGCATTGTGCGCGTGTCTCCTTGACCGGCGCCTAGCGAGCCAACGTCGTGCTCGAGGTCTACCAGCGTGCGCGTGTTGCTTCCGCTGTCACCCGCGCCATTGACCCGGCTACGTGCGTCCTTGCTGCGTACGCATCGGGAGCTTTCGCGCCTGATAACACTTTTCCGGCGAGCGTCCCAACGTTTGCATGGCACTACGTACACTATTGATCTCACATTCGCGATTGGCTCGTGTTGTCTTGTTGGGTTTGTTCATGTCCGCCGGATCAATTTGAATAATATAAGCAATTACATAATTTAACCTATGACCCACGTAGGGATCGTACATGAATGACCTAGTAAAGCAATTAAACTATGCGGTGTCACACCGCGCGAATAATTTATTACAAGCATTCACCAACCCAAAAATCCTTGCCATGTCCGATGCTTATATAACATACATTCGGGCCACAATAGTCGGATTTAAGAACACCTGCAAACAATTTATTTGCAATTCTAATCTAATATGCACTGTGCCCGTACACAAATATGCACTTAAGTCCTAATTCGAATTGTGCACAAAGATGAATTAATCCATGGCTATGATACAAGTTGTTGGGCTCTATGAGGAACGTCATCGGTATGCACATCCGAATCTAACGAATTAAATCCTGACAAAATGGAATCTATAGTTAGGATTAGGACTTACGGTTTAAAAATTTGCCGACTCTAAGACGTTGTAGTTTTCCTCTGTAAGTGATTATCTGATTCACAGAGTTCGTTGGGCCGCTAGACTTGGCCTCCTCGCTTGATCATTGGTCGTCAGGAATCAGTTGAGAGCTGGCCGGGTCGCACGGGCCATGTCGCGCGTCGGGCGCTGCCTCGGGTTCATGTGCATCGGGCACTGCCTCAAGTGCGTGCGCGTTGGGTGCTGCCTGTGCGGGTCTCGCAGGGCGTGCGCATCAAACGCTGCGGGGAGCTGGCCGCGCGTCGGACGTTGTCCTGGATCCTCGCGGGTCTACACGGGTCACGTTCGAGAACTTCACGGGTCGTCGTGGTTGCGTGTAGTGTCGTTGGGCACAGGTCGTCGTGGGGATGCATGGTTCGCCTCGGTCGAGCAGGCGTCTGCGGTTGGTCACCGATCACTGGGAACTGGCGCGTCGCGATTGGGAGCAGGGCGTCGCCAGGTGGTCGCGGACGCCGTTAATGATTTCCGGTGGCCAAAGGTTGGTCGCCAGAATATTTTTTCGGTGATAATATATTCTTGAGATCTCGAAATAGTATACCTTTTGATCTTCTGATGTATTACCCCTACACCTACTTTGAATAGTCTTGGTGGTGCGACTAAACAAAACTCCCGAAACCTCTTAAATATTTCACTCGATTTTGTCCTCTCTTTCAAGACTAAAAATCGGATGGCTTATTATATGTGTAGGAGGTGTTGGGACTGCTTCCACAGAGACCCTAAGTAGATGCTAAATTTAGGCTTCTCCAAATAGGTTTAGAAATCCATATGTCTTCCAACTCATTAACCTTATAGAAGTCCTAATGTCTTTCAACTTAGTTACCTTATAGAAGAATTTTATTTCTTTAAACTTGGTAACATTCTAGAAGACATTAAATCCTTCGACATATTAATATTCTAGAAGACATTAAATCCTATTTGAATAAATAATAATACATTCCACTAGAGTAATATTATTGATCTCCCCCATTTAGCTCCAACTTATATAATAAGTCGACCCTCTCTTATTTACTTTTAATTGATTAAATTACCTCTCTATGTTTAAGATATAACATCCATTAATTAATTTAATCACTCACAACTAAAATTAACTTATTTATTTTTATCTGAAAATAGTACCACCCAGTTCTTAATTATTATGTTGGTAGGGATGTCGTTATCTCCAAGCGATGTGCATACTACGCCTTCGGCTGTGTTGCAGATTTCATGAAACCATATTTGCAGAGCTAAGATAAACCCATAACATTTGTACATATAACCACCTCTCTTCCCTTTTCGTGCATCTGCTCTCTGTTTATCATTGATTTTCTAAGATAATGGAATGTAAATTCAAAGACATCGGTCCCTCAAGAATATACGTCAAAACTATCGATAATGTCCAGATAGCATCTGTCAAAACGGTGCGCGTCCTGCGAACCCATGAAGAAGTTCGCAAGTAGATGTAACTTGGCAAACTTAACCGCGTCTTCATCGGAATTCCATGATTTCTTTAAAAACTGCACTCTTATGCAACTACGGTTAAGTATAAGACCAGAGAAGTAATTGTCATATAGGCCTTCTGATACTTGTGCGATGTTCAACTTCTTGCATGTACTAGTGCATTTAAGACCGGTAATAAGGGCAAAATTTTCAATCCCTAACCGGAACAATCTTCCTCCAAAATCAAACCATATCTCGTCGGTCCTGGGTTGATAGGCCTCTCGTAAGAGAATGTGATTAAGCAATTGGATCTGGATTTTTGAATGTGGAAGGTCCAGAAACTTTCCAAATGCCGAACCCCTTAAATCTCCATCTGCCTAGGGGTAAGCATCCTCTTTATTTCATTTATGGTCCACCCATGTTTGCTGTTATCATTACTGGTCTGAATCTTCACATGTAATTTCCTCGGATTTGGTATGAGCAATTCCCAATCCTCTCCCAAAAAAATGACATGTAAAAATTTGCCCCCGAATTATGTACATGTCATATCCTTAGTATATACACACATATAGTCACAATCCAAAAATGGTCGATAAAAAATGTATATATACAGAAAGGACTACAGGGAACATATACAGCATATATTGCATATATATAGCGTATGAGTTCGCAAAATCATGATGGCACAAAATTATTGGTAACATACCAATAACATATACATAACACATACACCGCACTGCCAACACAAAATAAATACTTATTCCAAAAAAAGGACATATAAAATTTTACCCCCGAATTATGTACATGTCATATCCTTAGTATATACACACATATAGTCACAATCCTAAAATGGTCGATAAAAAATGTATATATACAGAAAGGACTACTGGGAACATATACAACATATATTGCATATAGATAGTGTATGAGTTCATAAAATCATGATTGCATAAAATTATTAGTAACATACCATTAACATATACACAACACTGCACTGCCAACACAAAATACATACTTATACCAAGCATTATTCATTTCCAGAGCATTCGGCAAAAATTATATGTAACATATGCATCACCCATATATCAAATATGGTTTAAGTGAGCTTGTATATACACAAACATGCTCATAAAAATGAACCTTTTACTAAAATTACCATATACATATACACTACAACACAAGTTTCTAACTACAGACTATGACGAAAAAAAAAAGAGAATTGTATATAAACAATCGACATCATCAAAATAGCACAAGTTCAAACTTTATGTATATTTACTCAAATAAACATAGAATCTTATATCAACTGTCAATCACTACTAAAAAACTATAGTATTTTTTTTAACATAATAGAAAAAACTGAGAGGTGAAAAAATAAAGAGGTAAATTTGTTATTCACCTTAATTTTTCCTAGATTTTGCAAATATTCCTCTAATTTCTTCAGATTGTCACCCGACTTGTTCCTCTTCTTGGACGGGATCTCATTATTTTCACCTTTTATTACTCGTTTCTTTCCCTTTTTTGTTTTTTTGCAAGTCGTGGTCTTCGTCACTCGATACTTCATAGCTTTCACTGTCTTCTTCATAAATTTCGTCCTCAAATTCGGAATCCATTTTTGCCCCATTTTGTGCCAAATCTCGCTTCTTTCCTTCATTGTGTACACGTGCCCTTTTTTGTGGATTGTGGCCCGAGGCCGACTGAAAGTCATCGGAATCGGATGAGAGGTCGGCCTTTTCTGGTCTTCTCTTGCCGGGCATACTCCGATAGTTGTCGGTTTTCATTTTATTTTTTTTCGAAATGCAATTTCTTATGAATGAGAGTGGGTTTCCTATAAGCTTGTATATTTCTGAGACGCGAACTCGATCTTCGATGAGGAGAGGCTTCGGCGCCGGTCATTGGACTTCTTCCAATCTTCGTTTTTGCCTTATTTTGAATTAGATTGATATGTTAGGGTTTGCAGTTGAGAAGTTTTGTGGGAGAGAGAAAAGAGGAGAAACGTGTTGAAGGGAGTGAGCGGTGGACGGTTTTTCTGAAGTGGGATAATTCCCTCTTACCATATGTATCCGGAGCCGTTTTCGTACTGATATTATTTCTCTTAATTTATCTAGTAAATTAATTATTTAAGTCAACTTGCTTTATCAACCAATACTTGTAAAACTGCAAATAAAAACGTAATCTTTGTCTATAATGCAAATATTTTTAAACGAGTGTTATTTGTGTAATTAAAAGATAACTTTATAGTGCAGGCTATAATTTTCTAGAAAAGAAATGGACCAATGGATCCTACGGCCTATCACTAAGTACTCCGTCGGCCCATGTCAGTTAAAGCCCATAATTTAAAGTGGACACATCGTGGAGTTGGAGATCAGACATTCATCGCCGCCGGAAAAACCATGCCTACCGTAAGCTTAGGCAGAGATCGCCTCTTCGAAGCCCTCGGCCGCACCTACAGTAAGCTACTATCCCGTACCTCTAATTCCCACAGTCTTACTTGCAGTTATTCGATTCATAAATCTATGTTTTTTTTTATTCTTCTTTTCTCTTTTGATGGATTGTAGCTGAAGAAGAGTTTGAAGATTTGTGCTTCAAATTCGGCATTGAGCTTGATGATGTGGTACGTGGAAATTCGTGATTATGCAGGCGTTTTGAGTTTTATGGGAATAATATTTAGTCTTGATTAATATCTGAACTGCATTTTTGTATATGTTGAATTCTGTTTTGGGGATGTTGAATTTTACGCTTTGCGTGTTCTCGAGTGGAGTGCATGGCATTGCTGTTAGTTTTATTGAGATTGATTAATCATATATTTGGTTCGGGTCAACTGAGTAGGAGAAATTTTCTGAAAACATTTATTAGACACGAGTATTTAGCTGTGTTTTAGTGTTATTTTTATTTTATTTTATTTTATTTTTTTGAATTTGTAGTTAAAATATTTTGGTTTGAATGATGTGGAATCAGACGACTGAGAAGGCAATCATCCGGAAAGAGAAGCATTTGGAAGAAGAAGAACCGTCTGATGATGAGGAAGTCATATACAAGATTGAAGTTCCAGCCAATAGGTAGTGTAAAAGTTGGTTATTTCAGTAGCCCAACCGAAGAAGAACTATGTTTGGTTGTCTGCACATGATTTTATTTGTGAAAGTGGGATATGTTGAAAGCGTTTGATAGAACGGTCTCTCTAGAAATGGGATGAACAAATTTTTGTTTTCTTGGATTTGAAAATCATGGCAGATATGATCTGCTTTGTCTTGAGGGCTTGGCCCAAGCTCTCCGCATATTTAATGGACTTGACACGATACCGAGATATACTTTGGCGTCCATTAGCAAAGAATCCATGCTCAAAATGCATGTCAAACCGGAGGTATTTATCTGAAAGAAAAATTTGTTCCTTTTTCTCTATTATACGATATGATTCCCCGTGTCGTTTATGTGATTTCCTTGCGCAGTTTTCTTCTTAAGGAAACTTTCTATATTCTAGGATTCTGATTTCGTCAATTATCTGATGTCCTAAGCAGACGTCGAGGATTCGTCCATATGTTGTATGTGCTGTTTTAAGAGGTGTTACATTTGACGAAGCTCGATATAATAGCTTTATTGATCTTCAAGATCGGCTTCATCAGAATATCTGCAGGTAATGCTTGTGGATCCTTGATTGACCTCCAAGACTGCATTTATTTCGAAGAGTTTCATGTAGGGATTGTCATTATATAAATATATATCTATTGGTAGATAGTGGTGCAACATCTTTCATTTTATGTAACTGTTTCTTTTCCTTGCATGGAGCAATCACTCTATCTTCATTGTATTCACTGACGTGATATAGAATTTTCGCCTATCCACTTGTACACTGAAAGTATTCATATAAATATTTTTTCTCACAACCATGAATGTTCATGGTTCTAACTGGGAACTCTATTTTATTTCTTTTTTTTTTTTGACTTTTTTTACGACAGCTATTATGCAATCTAAAACAACTTTTACTTACCTGAAAATTGTACATCGTTGTAGTCGTGCCAGGATTATTATAGTTTGAACTGGTGCAAGCTTTTCTTGTTACACTGGTTGTCATTACTAAGAGAAAAGTGTCGCATGTCAATGCTATATCAGAAACCTCTTCTGTCAAAGCCTTTAATTGCAGTATTTTCTCTGGCTTTTTATGTTGGCCTTTGCCGTTAAAATTTTGTCCTTGTACCTCTGCAGGCGAAGAACCCTTGTTGCTATTGGCACGCATGACTTGGATACAATAGAAGGTCCTTTCACGTATGAGGTATGCTTACTCATCTATCCATTTGTGATGTCTTCTTGGTTTTGTGGGTTGTTAATTATTCGAGGTAACATATTCTGCTGAGGATCTTGCCAATAATTTTGCTAGCTTACTCGTTGGATCCTCGTTCTTCACTGTGCCCTGTTTAGTTCAATATTTTCTTAGTTTTGGTTAATCTCTCAGATATCTGAGCATGCTTTTCTTTGTGATTTTGATATATTGAACATGTTTAAAATTTCAGGCTTTGTCTCCCCAAGAAATAAGCTTTGTCCCACTGAAACAGGTAACCATTTGAATCTTTTATTATGTAGTTTTATCTTTATTTTTTTCACTGATGTATTCAAGAATAATAAAGGTTTCGGCATCAAACAATATTTCTATAAAAGTTGACAATCATTGCTGCTCACTTGGTGAATAGGCACTTTGTTATTGACACTTAAGAGTAATGAGGCTAGTGACTTATTTAATGTTATGCATGTTTATATGTATATATAAATATGCATAAAGAATGATTTTGAAAATAATAATATGAATAAATTCTATAATCAACCATCTTGACCAACTTATTTATATATTACATGAAAAGTTTCCTTTCACAGTTTATTGCCTTGTCTTTGTTAGTTCTTGTTTGTATATTATGTTGCGTAACGGTTCATTCTTCTTTGCAATGTATAATGCCAAATTTTTCGTTCTGTAATTGCTCAGGCAAAGAGCTTCAGAGCTGATGAGCTAATGGAATTTTACAAAGTGAGTTATTCTTTACTTATACCGCCTTCTCTTACTGACATCAGATTTTTGTTTGGTAATAACTAGATCACCTACATTTTTATTTTCTTCCATTAATGTATCTACATCTGTTATGATCATCCTGCATAAACAACTATAATCAATCTTCTTTATTTATGTTTTCGCCTTTTCGGTTATATATCAAACTTGCAGTCGGATCTGAAGCTGAAGAAATTCTTGCATATCATTGAGAATTCACCAGTGTTCCCTATAATATATGATAGTAAAAGGTAATTTTGATTTTCAGCAAGTTAAAGTTACTTCATTGTTTTGATGTGCCCTCCGCTTATAACTTTGAATCGCCTAAGCTTTGTATATGATATGCTCTCTCTTGTTCCAAAAGTTCTTATTTTGTATTTCATGCTACTGTAGCTACTGCCAGAGTTGCGATTTTCCTGTCTGATAGAACCTATATTACACATCTTTCTACAGAACTGTTCTATCTCTGCCTCCAATTATTAATGGTGCACATTCCGCCATTTCACTGAAGACAAAGAATGTGTTCATTGAATGCACAGCCACTGATTTAACGAAAGCAAACATTGTTCTGAACACAGTGGTAACTAATAGATCAGATCAGCAACAAATTGCTATCTTATAATTCTTATTCCCTCCATTATCAGTTTGTTATTTATGCAACCACATTTGCTGTCTATTATATCATTCTTTCTGTTTTCCCTCATCTTATTATTTCAAATTCAATAAATACGAATTTGTTGTGCAGGTTACGATGTTTTCAATCTATTGTGAAAGGAAATTCGAGGTTGAGCCAGTTGAAGTTATATACCCAGATGGAAAATCAGTCATTTGCCCCGATCTTTCACTTTACCAAATGGTTGTGCCCTTATCATACATTACCAGTGCAGTTGGAGTCTCCTTGCCAGCCCAAGAGGTATCAACATGTGGGAATGCTCGAGTGATGATTATCAAAATTTTGTATGATTGTATCATTGTTCATATCTTTCTTTTTGCTTGATTTGCTTTGTTGTTTTTTCGGCTCATGAACCAAGGGAAAATTTTTTTGCACTTGGTGACTCCCTTGCCTGGTCGGGGGGAATTCTCAACAAACTATATTTTTGAAAATTAGCATTTATACTATAAATGTCAGGTGGCTAGCTTGCTGAACAAAATGCAGCTACATGCAAAGCAGTTTCTATCGGAAAAGAATGAAACCAGCTTCACCGTATCAGTTCCTCCCACAAGGAGTGACATTCTTCACCCTTGTGATGTGGCTGAGGTACTTTCTGTGTCTGCCTCACCGAAAATCATCTTTCATTTGCATGTTTTAAATACAATAATATTTATCTTCACCCCACTTCTGCTAGGATGTCGCAATTGCTTATGGATACAACGAAATTCAGAAAATAAAACTGCCATCTTTGAAGCCACAGTCGTTGAATCAGTTCAGTGATCTTATTCGAGCAGAGGTAGGACACGAACAGTTTATATCTACCATTCAATTGTTTGCTACTGTTGCTTTTTTCCTTTTTCTTTTTTTTTTCCTCATATCTTCTCCCGTTCATGATTAGTAAATGCTGACTTTAGTTTAACCTGTTCTATTTGAAGTCTGTATTTGCGATCTCTTGGTACCCTATGTTACTGGGTAGGATCTTAAAGCTTTTCATCATTTGTTGAACCTGCTTCCTATTGTTGAAGTTGATTGAGCACATGGTGCCCTTTTATAAATTCTCTGGTCAATAGCTGGCTTGCTGAATCTGCTTGAACTTTAATTGTTGTTCTTGTGTGCTTTCCTTCTTAAGATTCTGTATGTTTCATTTTAGATTGCAATGGTTGGTTACACTGAGGTGCTAACGTGGATATTGTGCTCATACAAAGAAAATTTCACCATGCTCAACAGAAATGATGACAAGTCGACTGCAGCAATAAATGGAAATCCCCGTTCTGCTGACTTTGAGGTTTGCTTTTGAATGCATCTCCCACATTTTTTTGAGCTAGTATTCTCTTAAAGATTTCTTTCATGACTATATTTTTTAAAAATTTGTAACATTACTCTTGGAGTGAGACCGTAATGAAGATTTTTGTAAATGGTACTCCTTGTTTAAATCTTGTTTCTAGTAGAGAACCATTGAGCCAAAACTTACCTTTTTTTTATGTTTATAATCTTCTTTTCTTTCAAAAATATTTTGCACGTCTTTCCATTTACAGTATTTGTTCTTTCAAAATTTGCAGGTTGTCCGAACCAGCCTGATGCCCGGAATATTAAAAACTGTGAGTCAGAACAAAGACCATCCTAAACCAATTAAGGTAATGGCCTAATGGGATATTGCTCGATTACTTTTTGTGTGTACATGTATGCTCTTGCCTTACTTGCGCTACTCAAGGGATCCTTTTGTCTATATCATATAGAAGTTTTTTTCAGTGCAGAAGCATAAGAAATCGAACTAGTATCTGTTTGCATTTACCATTTCTGCACTACTTCTTATCTTAGTCTCTCTCATCCGATGAACACTGAAATTTATTATCAGAAGGGCGGAACCACATTTAAGGTAATGGCCTAATGGGACCACAATTTGATGCCAAAAAGTGTAATTTGCGTCAGTATGTCTTTCTGTTATTGCAACTATGAGGTCCAATTGATGACTATGTTCCTTATTATTCATTTATTTTTCTGGTTTTTTGGTTTTTGTTTTTTTTTTTTTAATTTTTTTTTTTNTCTTTGCCTATACTTAGATATTTGAAGTGGGCGATGTTGTACTATTAGACGAGACAAAAGATGTTGGGGCTTCAAACCGCCGCCATCTGGCGGCTTTATATTGCGGAGCTACCTCAGGGTTTGAGGTATTGTGTCCTACGCGGTTTTTGCCATTATGATAATAGAAGAAAGGTTTTCTCATTCTGCAGTATTTCCCTTTTCTGTTTGTCTGCTTTTTGTTTGTGACGCCTGGCATGTTTGACAAAGGATACATTTTCATGTACCCACCAATAGTTCATTGCCACATTTTTTGTTGTGTACAGTTGATACACGGTCTTGTGGACAGAATCATGGAAGTTACGGGAACTCCTTTTGTATCACCTGGAGATAATACTGGCTATTACATCCAACTTTCAAAAGTGAGTTTCCTTTTCTTTCGTTTTCTATTTAGTAATAGAAGATATTATTAGTTGTATGTTATCCACTTGTCGTTTTCGCCTGATAACTGAGTCTTCTTCCCAGGAGCCTGAGTTTCTGCCTGGTAGACAAGCAAGCATCCTTTACAAAGGAAAGCAAATCGGCACTTTTGGAATCGTGCACCCGCAGGTATGTTCTGTATATGTTTATGTATGTGTAACAAATATTGTTGCTCTTAATCTGCCTAAGATCTCACTATGCATTCTCAAGTGTTTACTTTTACCCCTTAACGCATGAAACTAAATATCACGAAAAATAAATACGGTTAAGAAAAACAACCATCTCTTCCTACATCTGACCTGACAGAGGGATCTGTGATAAATTTGGTATTACTGAATTATAGTATTTTTGTTCGATTTATTCAGGGCATTCTTGTTATTTGGTTTGCAGGTGTTGCAGAAATTTGAGATTCCAGATCCGTGCTCCTTTGTTGAAATGAACATTGAGAGCTTTTTATAGAACAAACTCCTGTTTTGTAGACTATTTCAGAAGATATATCATTAGCTTTTTCTTTTTTGTTGTATTTTTATTGTGAAATTATTTTACTGAAATTTCTTGGTTTGTATTACGGATTGCAATGCAAGAGCTCAGATGGGTTGTTGAGGGTATAGTGCGAGTTGATTATAGACTGGTTTGAATATCTTTAACTACATTTTCAGTCCCACCGATTTGATTACCAATTAGTTTCTTTAGCCATATGTTTCTGTCTTAAAAGGACAAAGGCTTGACAAATATAAGTTGATTTTATTGGACTAATAAAAAATTAAACTTATCAAATATGAATTTAATTTTGGGGACATATGCTTTATAAGATTTGATATCTAAATTAATCCGTAAAATTCTCATAAAGGATAAAAATCAGATTAACGTTTATCACAGAACCTTCAATACGTTGGTCCATTTGTGTAAAAGAACATCTTCATTTTGCAAGTTGAATCGTCTGTGGTTAAAAAATATGGCATGAAAAATGTAAAGTCTCGATTTGGGTTCATTTTGAGAAGTGAGTAATTCTAGCCCCGCACTACACATTATACCAGCACTGGCCAACATAGTTATTGTACTTTATTCAAATTATTATGAGATACCATACTAGGTTGATCACGACCTAAAGAGTAGTAGGTCGATCGGTCCGAGTGAATCGGAAGGTCGGTTAAACATTAAGGACATTAGAGGTTGTGACATCAAGTCGACATGACCTCATAGAGAAGTTAGCCCGCCAGCAGGTCGAACTAGGGCTCTTGGCTAGCCTGGTAGAACTCGACCTGGAAGCCTGTAGGTCGATGGTATGACCTAAGAGACAAAGCTTATACGTTATAGGTCAAAGCAACTTGGTTCAAATGAATCTGAGCTGGTAGCACAGGCAGTCGGGTAGTCCAAAGCAGTCTTGTAACAATGTAACACTCCTATGTAAAGGGTGGTGTATGATCACTTACACCCTACAGACTCTAATATACTTACAAGCTATGTACAATTCTTATTGTTTATCATCTTATTCACATATTGACTTGAGTGTCGAAGCCTATACGCTGGGACAACTCCCGAGGTTTTGTAGGTTTGTGAACCGGTCGAGAGCGGATCCAAGGTCATTCAAGACGATTGAGGTCGTTTACTCTACCATTTGGCGCCGTTTGTGGGAATCTTTCGTTTAAAAATCCTTATAAACACCATAGCCTTGGCGAATGAAGATCTCCGAAGAAATTTGAGCCCACCTTTGACAAAGTTTGGGTCTCCAATCGTCCATTAGGAGCAGGCCTAGCACTGGGATTTTCAGCTTTTTAGGTCAATCAAGACATCGGTGACCCCATTGAACAATTCTTTGGGTCTAGGGGACTCATCGGCGACCACATTAGCTATTGGAGGTCTGATCGCCCAAACCAGGTGGTAAATTGCTCATGGAGGTCGTCCTAGCACCCATTGTGCAGCTAGGTCTAGTCCAGATCAAGCAGATGGAACCACCACCTAGCGAAGCTGCACCAGCAGACCAACAGATGGTCATTCTCAGGAGAGGAGTTGTGGAGGCCGTTGTTGCCAGGTGTGTTCAACCGCAGCTGTCGAGCACAGTGAACCCTACTGCAATGATAAGGAGGGAGGATAACGAGATTTCTAGCAACTCGGCTTTTGAAGCCTAGTGCGACCTGGAAGTAGAAAGGATAAAGTGGAGGAGAAGCGAGCTTGGAGAGCTTGCGGGCATCCTTCTGACTAGGAGATTTTTGATGCGGATATACCTATTGGGTTTAGGGAGCTGAGTATTGTGTATGATGGGTCCACTGACCCGTCTAGGTACTTGAGGAGCTTAAAAAAGATTGCGGTTTTGCATCGTTCAACCGATTCAGTGAGGTGTAGGGATTTTTTGTTGACCTTGAGGGGAGGAGCTCAATATTGGTTTCACCAGCTTCCCCAAGCTTGGTCAGGGATTTTGAAGATTTTGAAACTGTTTGTCCCATTTTTGTTGCGTTTTTCGTTATCTTTTTGTCTTTCTTTTTTCCCCATTTTAGGTGTTTTTATTGGTTTTTAGGTCGTTTTATAGTTTATTTAGTGTTTGCTCTTTTCTTGGTTTTTCTTGTGCTTTTCGTTCGTTTTTCGTTTTTTTCGTCGTCGTTGGTGCGTAGGTTGGAAGTCTCGGGAGAACAGGAGTTCGGAAAAATACTAGTTGGGAAAGCCTACTCAAATAGAGGAGTTCGTTGGAAACACACAGGAAAAAGCGGAATCGAATTCCGAGTTGAAACGAGCTCAAACGGACCCGAGAAGCAAAGCTGTGCGAGCTGCCCACCTGCCCAGGCCCCGCGCAGCGCCACACGTGCCTCACCGCGCCGCGCCAGCACCACGACCCGGACTGCAGCACCTGTTCCCGCACTCACGCCGTGATGTCCCCCCGTGCCGCGCCGCGGGACTGCTCCGCGCCGTGCTGAAGGGCCGTGCCGCGCCGCGATGAAACCCCCCACGCCGTGATGCCGTGCTGAGTATAAAAATGAGATCGGGCTGCGACAGAAATTATTCTCTCTCGACCCACGAAACACAAAAAACCCTACCCCCTTCTCTTTTCACTCGTTTTTCACTTTTCTTTCATCGTTTTCAACGTAGAACAAGGACTTGATCTTGGATTTTGCTATTGCTTTGGATTTAAGCTTGTTTATTAGATTCAACATTCAATTACCATATTTTGTAAGTTTTTCTATACATCTCATCCATGAATATGTTGACTTTGATTATGGTGGTTTGTGTTGATAATTAAAATATGAGTGGCTAAATCTTTATGCTAGGGATAGGGGATTGATGTTTTGGAATCGTTTGTGATTGTCGGGCTCAAGATTGTTCAATTTGTGCGAGTTAATCTTTTATTAGGGTTTTTCAACTGACAAGCTTGAATATTGATAATTGTTGAAGGGTGACACTTCAGCTTACAATTGTTTCGATTGAATTTGATTTATTCGTGCTCGAACTTGGGAATCTATTTGATTAGTCGGTTAACCACCCTCTAGTCTACTTTAATCGACTCTTAGAACCGAAAGGGGAGGAGTCGGTCGAAATAGGCTCGTATGAACTAGGCTTGTTCGTAACTGTATTGCCTAGAAGTTAAATGAATTGTTAATTTGCCGTTCTAGTTTGTTCTCTTGTTACGAAAAGTTATTGAGAATGAGTGCTTGGACGTGTTGATTAGTCAAATCACTTAGCTGAATAATCACTTGCCCATTAATTGCAATTCGAACCAAAACGGATCTCCCCGACTCCCTAGCTACTCAAATCCTAATTGCTCTTCGTTACTTGCTTTCTTTATTGCTTAATTTGAATTTTCGCAGTAGTTGATAATTAAACCAAAACCAATCTTTGATTTAAAATGTTTAGGAATTTTATTTCTTTTATTAGTGTTTGAATAAACGTGCAAAGTATTCCGGCTGACCTTCCTCGTGAGACACGACCCGGTGTTCGAATTTGTTGATTCTACTCCGGAAAAATATTTACAACAAATTGGCGCCGTTACCGGGGAAGGTTTAGGACATATTTTGTGCGCTTATTCATCTTATTTTTCGTATTTCTTTTTGGTTTTGTGTTTTTCTTGTTTTCTGTGTTTCTTTTTCTTATTTTCTTTTCTTCTCTTTACCATTGGTGCTCGTAGCCCGTTGTTTGTTTGAGTGTATGCGTACCAGGAGTGGACGTAAACTCTCTCCAATTAACAAACCCTTCAACGAGAGCGTGAGAGAACTTCTAGACGAGCTTACTCTAGAATCAAACGAAGAAGGCGAGCATCGAACAGAATCATCCGAGGGGAGTAACTCAGACATGGCTGATCAACAACCGCCTCGTAACATCCTCCGAGATTTGTCCCAACCCATGATCGGGCCGATCACTTCCTGTATCCGGCTGGAGCAAGACGCCCGAAACTATGAGCTGAAGATGGTCCACTACAATCAGCTCCCATCATTCCACGGGCTCCCCAACGAAGATCCGCTCCACTTTCTTCGGGAGTTCTACAACGTCCCTCAAACGTTCCCACTACACGGGCTGAGCGAGGACCAACTGAAAATGCGGTGTTTCCCAGAGACTCTGAAGGACCGAGCAAAAGCTTGGTTCATGACCCTCGCCCCGGATTCTCTAAAAACTTGGGCCGAAGTCTACTCCAAATTTGTCGGGAAGTATTATTCCCATCAGAAGACCCAAGACATCCGGTCCCAGATAGTCTCCTTTGCTCAACTGCCAAACGAGCCTCTTCACGAGGCTTGAGAGCGTTTCAAGGACCTCCAGAGGCAGTGCCCCCACCACAACCTTGCTCCAGGACTATTAGCGAATTGCTTCTACGACTCCCTCCACCAGAACATGCAGTATATGGTGGACAACGCAGCTGGAGGGGATATTGGGGGCAAAACAGCTGAAGAAATGATTGCAATCTACGAGACGATGAGTTCCAACTCGTCTCAGAAGAGTATCAGAGGGAAGCGGTCCACAGTGAATGAGGTTGGCTTGAGTAATAATGCTATGGCCCAGCAGTTAGCCGAGCTCATGGAGCAGATGCGGCTACTAAATGCTCGAGGTTCCTCACCGATTCAGGCAATGGCGGTAAACGCTTGTGGAGCATGCGGTGTTCAGGGACACAGTTCTGAAGTGTGTTCTATAGCTCTCGAGTCAAACTACGGAGGGCAGAATGCTGAGGTTAACGCTTTGCAGGGGTATCAGAACCGGCCCGAAAACGACCCCTACTCGAACACGTACAACCCCGAGTGCAGAAACCACCCGAGCTTCTCATGGTCTAACAACAATTCCCATCAGCCGCCTCAACCTAACTTTGTCTCCCATCAGCAGCAACACAAGAGACAAATGTTAAGGTTGCCCGCACCCGAAGCCGGTCCAAGCCCGCCAAACTCAGACGAAAAACTGGATAAAATTCTTCAGTACATGGACAATGGTGAGCAGCAGAGTGCGAACAGTGAGGCTTCCATTAAACGTTTGGAAGCACAACTAGGCTAGTTAGCCACCCGGGTGGGGAATATCGAGGTGGAGCTGAAGAAAGACAGATTGCCGAGCCAGCCAGAGCATGCAAATGCGGTAACCGTAATTATGCCCGAGAAAGTGAAAGAGGAAAAAGTGGGCCCGAAAGAGCTTACCCAAATGGAAGAAGCCCCAGTGACACCACCACCAGAGCCTACTTTACACAAATCTCCAAACCCCTACAGACCGAAGATTCCCTTCCCAAGCCGACTCTTGG